CGTATTTAATTCATTTAGTAGAATTTGTTCTCATAATAGATTGGTTGATTGCATTTTGTTTTAAAAATATAAGGTAATGTTCATTTATTAGGGGGTTGGTAGATCTTCCGCTTTTCCCAGGAGTAACCGCTACCGATTCCCGAAGTAAATTAACATCCTTTTCAAATCCTAATATCGTAATTTTTAAACTATTAAGGCAATGTCCGTTTATCGCGATTGATAACGAAGCCTCCGCTTTTGGTGGGGTGGTTGTTATTAATCTTGGTAAATTGACATCCTTTTTTTAAAATATGTATACATAGTGAATTTTAAATCTTACTCACACATGTGAAAAAGGATTATAAAGATATATATATATGATTATAAAAATTCATTTAAACCGAAACTAGTATATACTATAATAATATATAGTTAAATTTACAGAGAAACTTAAATAACTCCACTTGAAAAAAAATAAAGTAAAGTAAGGACGTAAAATAAGACTTGTCAATTAGACTGACTCAATTTTTTGTTACTTGAACCGAATCGATCAAACACTCACCCTAGGAGCCTGATGTAAGTTTTTATATTACGAGACGAACTTATAAAATTTTAAAAGACGAAAGTAAATTATCAATAGAAATGCATATGAAATATTAAACTATATGAGAAGTCTCTTTCTCTTTAATCCATCCTTAACTATGAGAAGTCTCTTCTTCTTTAATCCATCCTTAACTATGAGAAGTCTCTTCTTCTTTAATCCATCCTTAACTAACCATTATTAGACCACAATCAAATCTAATAATCACTTTTTGTACATAAAAACAAGTTATATGATAACCACAAGGCATCTTTCAAAAGACAAGATAAGATTTGTCGGATGGTGCTTGAAAAAAAAATCAACCGAAAAGTACTAGCACCATAATAAATTAATCGTAAATATTTTAGGAGTGGGAAAGTAAAGTATTTCAACATGTGAATCAAATGCTCCAAAACACCTATATTTAATATTGTAAGCGTTGGTGTTTTTATTAGGAATGACGAACGAAGTGTAACATCGAATTACGACATTTACTCTCCTCTGATTGTATTGCACCTCTATTAGGTTTTTGAATTTAAATTCAGATAAAATATATAAATAATCATTAAATTATATTAAAAAGATATTTCAAAATTATTAGAATTTAAATTTATAAAATAAATATTAAAATAATGATTTTATTATAAAATATACATTACACTATTAATTGCCCTTAACTATATTTAAAAGATTCATATGGTATATTAAAGTAATGCATAATATCTCATTTTCCCTCTTAACTGTAATTAATATTTTTAGAAATAAATTTATTTTTATAAAAAATAAAAATACATAAAATTCATTATTTATTTTTAAAATTATAATTTCGAATTTTTCTGTGCAATTTTTTTTAAATAAAACCTTCATATTTTATACTAGTTATGATCATAAACTATCTCTAACTGTATTATATAAATTTTTATATACGATAATAAGATTAAATAAAACATATGTTTTAAAATCACTACAAATTCATAAAAACTTTAAAGAAGAAGATAATAAGTTCGTTATGATAACAAAAGTATAAATTATTCATCATTAAATTTTGTTATAGGTTATAGAGAGGGTGAGAGTGTAAGTGATGCTAAAATAAACAGTTTTGTTAAAATAGTGTAATTTATAAAAAAATATCAAAATAATAATTTTTAAAATAAATAATATTATTTCATATATTTTTTAATTTTTTTACTTTTTTTTTAATAATTATTGTCTACAAATATTTTAAAAATATCAAAATAAAATTTTTAAGTACACTTAAGAGTTTACATAAGATATTATCTATTAAATTAATGTGTCACACCATCTCCTTAACAGCATATAACAATAATTAGTGGTGTGATCCCTATTTTAGAATAAAATCAAAATTTTAATACATTTAAAAAGTTTAATAATTAAAAAGATTATTTTAGTATAATCTATTCAAAAAAATTGTTTTAGTATAATTTAATGAGTGTTTATATAATTTTATCTTTTATATTTTTATAAAATAATGGGAGTACCAAATATCTTTAAATAATCATAAAAATATTTTTAAAATAAAACTGGATTTTATTAAATAAATAGGTAAGATACAAAGAAAAAAAATAACAAAATAACAACATGAGTGTGAAGAAAAATAAAGCCAAGACCTTCCCTTGAATATATGCTTATCTTTCACAAAAACCTACTTACTATTAACAATCTTCATTTCTCTATTGGAATCTAGACATAATATTGATAAAGGCGTTGAGAAAATTAATTTGATAGATTGTTCCACGAATAATTATAAATTTATTGACCAATTGTCGTAAAAAGGATCTAATTATACGAGATCATCGACCTTTCATGATAGGAAGATGTGTCGTGACGAATGCAACACAAAACGTCAAATTATTATAATGATAGACAAAATCGTGCTAGACAAATAAACGTGTCATCAAACAGAGAAAAACAAACGGTTCAAGAATATATGTAGAAAGGAAAAAATCAAAGCGAGAGAATGCTTATTTAGACATAAATTAAAAAAATTAAATAAAAACAAAAGAAAATAAAAACAAAAGAGACGATGACACTCATATAGTCGCTTATAATGAAACTTTAAAAGAAAAATAAATAATCAGTTTAGATAAAAAAATATATATATAATTATACCAATATTTTTTCATTAATATACAATGATTATAATATAATATATGTTAAAAAATTATCAACAATTTAATAATAAACAATTATACACCCTTATAAAAGTCATATTCAAACTCAATACTTATAAAAATAATCATCATTCTTTTAATCGTTTAGATTATTTAATTCATGCATCATAAAAATACTTAAATATTAAATTTTAATGGATGGGAAATAAAAAAGTAGGTAGTGGGGATGTAAAGTAAGTAGGTTGAATAGTAATATAAAGATTTCTCGACTCTTCCTAATAAATATAATAGAATTATTGTATATAGCATAGGTGGGCCAATGCGACAAATAAAATAATAATGTGGATTGTTTAGTTGTGGATAGCTGCTCTAAGGTTATTAATTTCAATTATTTTCTTTATAAATTTTATTAAATCAAACTTTTAAACATGTTAATACCAACAAAAAAGATTAACGTTGTAATATATTATCTTTATTTGTTCACTTCCAAAATATATATGAATTAAATTATTTTTTAGAAAGATTAATTTATTTTATTTATAAGTACATAGAGGTTAAAGTTGTATTTAAACCTAGTATTTTTATTTTTTCTAATAAATTTAACATTTTAAATTAAAACAGCGACTTTCTATATTAAAAATAGTAAAATATTCCTTTAAATAGTCGATAGATTAAACTAGCTTTTTTATATGTAGTATAAAGGAGATTGATAAACAGGATCGAATCAGGATTCCAACCCGGGAAGTAAAATATAATTAATTATGAAAAATGAAGAAATAAAATAAAATAAACTAAAATTATGTATAATTAAGAATTTACCTATATATTTTTTAATAATAAAAAATAAGGGTGAATGGTCCAAGTGGTAGACTTTAACCCAAATTTCGAAACCTTTCCATACATTCATTATATATATATATATATATATATATATATATATATATATATATATATATATATATATATATATATATATATATATATAGTGGTGGATGTATTAAATCCATATAGGGATCAAGTGTATCTGATTATTTTAGAAATGTGATTAAATTTAATTTAATGTGTTAAGAAAAAAAGTAAAAAAGAAAAAAATACAATTTTTGCATACCCATTATTTTTAAGAAAAAAATTAAAATTTTAGACTTATTTTTAAATTTATATATATATATATATGTTCAAATACAGAAAGAAAAATTAGTGAATATTTGTAGATATCAGATTCCAGGTCGATTATAAGTCTGTATTTCTTTTTAATTTTATAAAACTTTCATTCAGTTTTAAATTAAATATTCTTTTCAAATCACATTTTTTTATCAAATTTTATTTTATTAGTTTTCTCCAATCTTAGTATAATGGTAAACTAATGCATTATTCTTCATTTTTTAATTTAATGTTCACACACACATTTAATTTTATTTATTTATTTATTCTTTCTTAATTATAGTTATATTTAAGGTGTTTTATTAACAAAACAATGAAAATAATGCATTTGATAAAGTTTAATAATTTTTCTATGATTTATTAATGAAATATTAAATTAATTATTCAAATTAAGGAAACATATTTTTGTTCTATGGTGACCTATTTTTAAGTTTTCGTTCAAGATATTAAAAATATTTTTTAATTTTCATTTATTGATGTGATTAGATCTGTTCGTATCTACCCTTTATTCGAGTTTATTTGGTTAGATTTTTAATATTTTCCTTGTATGATCTTTGTGTGATCTTAAATAATTAATTTTTTGTGTCAATAATAATAGAAAAATCTTCTTATTACGTCTTTTAGTTTACAATTATAATTATAAATTTTTATTGTAATTTGAATATTTTTTTATTTTTAATAAAATTGACTGTTTTTATATTGTCAAATCTTTTTATATTATGTTTGACCATTCAATTTTACAACTCATAAAATTTAATAATTTTATATTTTTAAATTTTTAAAAATACACAACCCGAAATTTTACGTGGATTCATGCTATTACATACCCTACTCGAGTTGGGTATATAGAGATTCATCACTTTAAATATTAACACATTTTTTATTGGATTTTATTGGATTTCATCGATTATCTTGAATAAAAAATATTAAATTTCTTATCACTGGATTCTATAATATTTTGTATCTTTTTAATACATGACATTTGGAGAGGTCTCCTTCGTTGCTTTTTTTTAACGGTCATTATAAACCCTTTAAAGCCTTTGTCGGTACCTTTGGAAAGGGACAAGTTTCATAATATGGGGGTGAGAGCCCTTGAATTGCTGGTCTAATCACGGTAATATTTTCAAACTAGGGGTCATGGAGATATAGAGTGAAGCCGAGTGCTTTGATAAGCTGTGGTGCTCCAGGTAGCTGTGAACTTGAACTCGAAGAGAGAAAATAAAAGGAAAAACAGAAAGATAGGGGCGAAGGGAAGATGGTGAGAGCTCCTTTCTATGATAAAAATGGAGTGAAGAAAGGTGCATGGAGTATTGAAGAAGATGACAAACTACGTTCTTATATTAAAAGATTTGGTCATTGGAACTGGCGTGAACTACCCAAGCAAGCTGGTAATATATGCTTCCATTTCTTATTTATTTTCCTCTTGAATATACATGCTCAAATGGGGAGGTTTTTTCTCAATGTAGTCCCATGATTATTTCGACAAAATTAAGGGTCTTTTTATAAAAGTCTAATTCTGGATTTCATCCCTCTACTTTAGAAAACTGAGAAGACAATCCATCTGTTTTAATCCCGTATTTATCAAAATGATCATTTTGTTCATTATTCTAATTTTAAGAAATATTTTGCTCTCAAATAATTATTTGTCTTTTATTTTTTATGAGATATTTTCGCTTTTAACGTTTTATTTTAAGTTAAAAATACTTTTATTTTATAACATTAATCATTTGTTATCTAATTGTTTTTATCTATATATGGAACTCTTTATCTAAAAGTGAAATGTTGAGGTCAAAATATTCTAAAATATAAAAAAAATGGTCTAGAATGATAAATTTGATAAAGTCTGAGAACTATTTTTGGCATTATTTCATTTAATATAATAAAATTTAGTATCACATTTTTCGAAGCCTCGTCAACAAGTTTCATTACTTAATTTTTCTAAACTCTTAGATATAAACTATTAAAATGTTGATTTTAGGTCAAGGATTAAATGATAAAATTTAACGATTTCACTTCATTTGACTAATTTCTCACTTACAAAATGTACAGGTATCAGACCTTGACAAATTAAAGTAAAGGGACTAACTTTTTAATTTACGTAAAACAGAAGGATGAAATCTAAAATTTAGACCATCAAATAAAATATTTATTGATTCAAGGTATTGCTGCTCTGTAGCTAGTGTACTTATCTTTTTGCCCTTTCCCCCCATTTTTCTATCTTGTTATTACTTTTAGCTAAAAGGCTAAAACTGCCTTTTTCTTTGTTCTTATCTAATCAAGTTAGTGTTCATAAAATGATGTAATTTTGTTAAGGTCTTCAAAGGTGCGGAAAGAGTTGCAGATTAAGGTGGTTGAATTACCTCCGACCTGAAGTGAAACATGGAAACTTCACTGAAGATGAAGATGCCTTAATCTTGAAATTACACCAAGAATACGGAAATAGGTTAGATTCAGTTTTTAACTTCTTATCCCTCAGTTGAAACAGTAATAAAATAAAATAAAAGTTAGGGATGATTCGTGTTAATATTTTTTATTTAGAGGAACGAACCTGACGCAAGCATGCAACCGTCATGTTGCTGACACAAGAGTATATTTTAGCTAACAAATTCCATGTTTTAAATATGCAAAAACGCAGGTGGTCGATGATCGCTGCAAGTTTACCGGGAAGAACTGACAACGAAATAAAAAATCATTGGCACACTCGATTAAAAGAACGTGCAAGTCGTAATCCCACATCATCTACAGATCAATCCAGGACTGAATCCTTATCCACCCACAGTTTTGATGGTGAAGCCGAATGCATCTGTATTGATGTCCCACCCAACATGATACTGGAGAGCTCGGCCTTGGCTTCCACACTAACATCATCGACTGTCGAATTGTCCTCCCCCAACATGATATCGGGGAGCTCGGCCTTGTTACGGACGACCCCGTCGACTGTTGAATTGTCATCTTCCAACTTGATATCAGGGAGCTCGGCCTTGTTCCCGACAACACCGTCGACTGTCGAATTGTCCTCTCCCAATTTGATATCGGGGAGCTCGGCCTTGTCTCCGGTTACGCCTTCCACTGTCGAATTTTCTTCAGCCAGCCTGGTTGTCGACAGAGAATATACATCGAGCTTAAATATCGGAGGCAGCGGTACGGAGGATGTTTGTCTCCTTCCGTGTTCTTCGGGAATGTATGAAGATCTTATCGGCGGAGATTTCTGGAGTGAGCCGTTTGTGGTGGAGATAGATCTTCCATTGCATTTTGAGATTTATGATGATGATTATGTTGATTTGTTTTTTGATCAAATGATGCACGGTGACCAACCCATTTTTTTACCATAATCAATGTAGTATGAGCCTTGTACATGCATTTACAATTCGAGAGTGACTTTGTGCTTGCATTTGTATATACATTGAGGCCACCTTTGTTTCATGTAATATTTTCTTTCATTTTTTCAATGTTTACCTGACGTAAAATTATTTATTCAACTTAATTTATTTTTTTAAGTTAATGTTAAAAGATTTATCTTTTTTTGAAAATGTACTGTTGTTTGAAATTCAATAGTATATTATCTATAAAAAATTATTTGATGCTCCTATTTTAAAAGATATTCATAAATTAAATTGAATCAGATTCGGAATTAACTTTAAACATAAGATTTACATACTTTTTATTAAGATGTTCTAGGTGCATGTACAAGACTTGTACTACATTGATTATGGTAATAAAATAAGTTGGTCACCATGCATCATTCGATAAAAAACACAAATCAGCAGATCGTCATCATAAATCTCATAATGCGAAGGAAGATCTATCTCAGCCACAAATGGCTCACTCCAGAAATCTCCGCCGCCTTCGACGTTTAAGCTCGACATATATCCACTGTCGACAACCGGGCTGGCAGAAGACAATTCGATGGTCGACGGTGTCATAAGAGACAATGCCGAGCTACCCAATATCATGTTGGAGGATAATTCGACAGTTGACGGTGTTATCGGAGACAATGCCGAGCTCCCCAACATCATGTTGGAGGACGATTCGACAGTTGATGATTTTACCGTGGTAGGCAAGGCCGATCTCTCCAGTATCATGCGGGGTGGGGTATCGACACGGATGCTTTAGGCTACACCATCAAAACTGTATTCACTTGGAGATTGATCTGTGGATGATGTCGGATTACGTTTTCTACGTGCTTTTAATCGAGAGTGCCAATGATTTTTTATTTCGTTGTCAGTTCTCCCTGGTAAACTTGCAGCGATCATCGACCATCTGTATTTTCGCATATTTAAAACATGCAACTTGTTAGCTAAATTATTCTTGTATCAGCAATATGATGACTGCATGCTTCGGTTAGGGTCCTCTATATAAATTAATGCTCACTCACTTCATTATTAACACGTACTATACCTATAACTTTGATTTTTCAGTTTTATTAATTTATATATTTTAAATTTATTTTTACAGTTAAAAAATTGAAATCGAATTGAAAATTTAATTGATTCTATTTTCAATTCGACTTTTAAATAAGAATGTAAAAATGGATCTAACCTATTTCCGAATTCTTGGTGTAGTTTCAAGATTAAGGCATCTTCTTCTTTAGTGAAGTTTCCATGCTTCACTTCAGGTCGAAGGTAATTCAACCACCTTAATCTGCAACTCTTTCAGCACCTTTGAAGACCTTAACAAAATTTAGCAAAATTAGATCATTTTATGAACATTAATAAAATATTAATCCTTTGCTAAAATTGAAAGCTTTATCCCTTTATTTTAATTTGTCAAAACTAGATACTCGTACGTTTATGTAAACAGAGAAATTATAAGTAAAATTATTAATTTTTTATTAAATAGTTAACATAAAAATCAATAGTTTAATAACTTGTACCCAATGGATTAGCAAAATTTAATAGTTGAAGATTTACTTGCAATATATTAGTAATAAAAACCAATTGTTCAAATTCATATATTTATTAAAACAAGTCTCATTGCTCAAGTTTTTTGTAGAGTATGAAGACCAAATTTTGACAAATTATAGCAGATGGATTGTCTTCTCAGTTTTTAAAAGTAGAGGGATGAAATCCAGAATTAGACCTTTATTAAAAACCCTTAATTTTGTCGAAATAATCATGGGACTACATTGATAAAAATCCGCTCCATTGAGCATGTATATTCAAGAGGAAAATAAATAAGAAATGGAAACATATATTACCAGATTGCTTGGGTAGTTCACGCCAGTTCCAATGACCAAATCTTTGAATATAAGAACGTAGTTTGTCATCTTCTTCAGCACTCCATTTTTATCATAGAAAGGAGCTCTCACCATCTTCCCTTCACCCATATCTTTCTGTTTTTCCTTTTATTTTCGCTCTTCGAGTTCAAGTTCACTAAGCAAACTCAGCCCCATATCTATTTTACTCCATAACTGGTCCCTTCCTAGAGATATTGACAAAAGTTTTAGGGATATAACAATAATTAAGAAAAGAGTGAAGGCCGAGTTTACGTAAAAGTGCCACATGGAAAATTATGAAACATCATAGAATTAAGTGATAAGAAATTTGATATATCTTTCAAAAAGATCTCCTTAGATGAAATAAAATAGAAGGAAATATAAAAGAAGGAAATATAAAGATGACAAGATGGATAAAGTGATAGAATCTCCATTGGTCTAGGTTGCACCCCCGTGTATCACGACACGTTTTGTTTCTTTCTATTTCTTTGATTTCCTTGTAGTTACCTTCACATGCAGATGCAGGCAGCTTCATGTCATTGCCACATAGCAGTGTATGTATGTAATAGAATCTGCATACATTCACTAGCTTTTCTTTCTGTAAATGAATATATCCCTTGTCGTAACCGGTTTTTGTCCGGGCACGAATTTTTTACTTGACAGGAAAAGTGATATGAATAAATGGTATTTAAAATAAAATAATTTGGGAGTCGCCATCGGCCTTTTAGGTCAGGTAGGTCGAATACCTAAAAATTATCTTTTAAAAGAGTTTTAAGAAAACATCAGTTAAAAGATGAACTGATCTGCGTTTATAACAAAAAATTCGTTCTTTTTAATAAAAAAGGGATTCGTGGTCGGTTACGTTTAGGGAATGATTAGCACCCCTACAACGCCCAAAATTGGTACTTTATTAATTATAAATTGTCTCTATTATTAGAAATTTAAGAATTCAAAGATATGTAATTTATAATCCTATTATTTCAAAATTCTAATTATGAAAAAATATTTATATACGTTTATAAATAAAATATTTATTTATTTAGAAATATCAGAAAAGAACTTCTAGGTGCCTTAAGACAGCTCTTTTCTTTGATATTAATAAATATTAACAATATAATAATTTAAATAAAATTAAATTATAATTTTTATAATATTTAATTTTAAAATACCAGAATAGGACATCCAGTTGTATTAAGACTGCCCTTTTCTTCGATATTGAAAAATAAATAAATATTAAAATATGATAAAAATAATTTATGTAAAAAATATAAATTATTATTTATTATATATATTTATATGACTATATAATAAAAATAATATTTAAAAATGTAAACAAGTAAAATTAAAACATAAATAAAAAATACAATTAGAACTATATATTTAAAAGCAATAAAACTTTATAATAAATGAAAATATTTAAAAATAGTGACTAAATTATAATCTAATAAAATTAAATACCTAATTCATAATTAATTATTTAAAATTATAGGGATTAAACATGCCATTTTCCTTATTTATTAATTTGATGACTAAAATAAAATTATATAAAATTCCAATATCAGATTAAAATAAATGAAAAATATATACTCAGGATTAAAATATTATTTATTAAAACTAAAGGACTAAATACGTATTTTATCTAAAAATATTTATAATTACGGTTAAGGGCTAAAATATAAATAAATAAATAAAATTCAGAGACCAAATTAAAAGGATTATAAATTTGATTTAATGACTAAAATGTAAGAATTACAAGTTGGATTGCGGACGGGATTTAACCCTTAGTTAATTACACAAATAGCCCTCCCCGAAACGACGTCGTTCGGGAAGGGCTATTTCGGGCCAGCTCTCATTTCTTCTCTTCCCTCTCTCTCTTCTTTGAGAGAGTTTAAAACTCTCTCGCTTCTCTCTAAAACAGAGAGAAGCACACCGGCCGGCAGCCGTTCGCCGGCGTTGACCCCGCCGCCGGTCACCGCCTTCGGTGGCCGGAAATTTTTTTTTACACTAAAACGTAGATCGAACCGTCCTAATGACGGTTCCGGTGTTCCTTTCTCTTAAATAGCTCCCAATCGGAGCAAATCTAGGAAAGTACCTTCGATTTTCGAAGGTTTTTGGTGACGTTTGGAGAGGTCCGGCGGTCGTGGCTTCCTCGGTAAGCTTCTCTCCTTTCTTTTCTTTTGTTTCTGGTTGCTCTGTTGTGGGTTTGCTCTGCTTTGGGTTTGCTGTTGGTTGCTCTTTCTCTGTTGGTTTTTTGTTTTTTTTTGCAGGTTGGGTGATGGCTTTATAGCCATCACCGGCGCTTGTCTCGGACCGGGTAAAAGAGTAGAGTTCGGTGAGTCACTGAACTTCCAGTGGCGACTCACCGTTGAAGGCAACGTATGCGGCTGGAGTGGCTCTTCTGGAAGCCTTCGACGAGACGTGGCAGCGGTGGAGATGGTGGGAGTAGCTGCGGCGGCCGCGTGGCCCTAGGGTATCATACCCTAGGGCTTGCATCTGGAGGAGTGTGGGCCGTTGGATCTCTCAGATCCAACGGCTGAGATTGAGGCGGCGGTTAGAGCTAGGGTTTAGAAACCCTAGCTGAAACCCTAAATGTTTAGGGTTTCCTTTTGGGTTTGGGCCGGTTCTGGTTGGGCCTGGGATTTGGGCTTGTAATTATTATTATTTTTTTAATAATAATAATAATATATATAATAATTATAATAATAATAATAATTATTATTATTATTATAATAATAATAAATAAAAAATGGGTAAAAAAGTTAGTATCTTCAGCTGCCCCTCTTTGCTCATTCTTGTGTTAACAAGAATAGGGCAAAGACGAAAAGATAAAAAAAAAATTATCCATTGGCCTCACTTGATTATGATGGAGATGTTGAATAAATTCTTCTCTTTCTTCAGATGAGTTCTTCTCATTATGAACTTTCCGCTGGGGATGATGTTGACCTATTTCCTTCTGTGATAGAGTCATTCAAAAGGTTGAATAAGCTCTTCTCATTATGAACTTCTTCTTTCTTTTTCAGATGAGTTCTTCTCATTATGAACTTTCTCCGGAAAGGTTGATGCTAATCTATCTCTTTCTGTGATAGAATTATGCAAAAGGTTGAACAAGCTCTTCTCATTATGAATTTCTTCTTCTTCAGATGACGAGTTCTTCTCATTATGAACTCTACCTGGCAATGTTGATCCATCAAATAATGAATTTAAACAAAAGGTTGAACAAATTCTTCTCATTATGAACTTCTTCTTCCTTCTTCAGATGAGTTCTTCTTATTATGAACTCAAACTGGTAATACTGATCCATCAAATAATGAATTTAAACAAAAGGTTGAACAAATTCTTCTCATTATGAACTTCTTCTTCCTTCTTCAGATGAGTTCTTCTCATTATGAACTCGAACTGGCACTGCTGTTCCACCGAGTGATGAATTTAAGCAAAAAGTTGAACAAGTTCTTCTCATTATGAACTTCTTCTTCCTTCTTCAGATGAGTTTTTCTCATTATGAACTCGAACTGGAAATGGTGATCCATTGAGTGATGAATTTAAGCAAAAAGTTGAACAAGTTCTTCTCATTATGAACTTCTTATTCCTTCTTCAGATGAGTTCTTCTCATTATGAACTCGAACTGGAAATGTTAATGCTGATCTATCTTCTTCTGTGATAGAGTCAAGCAAAAAAGATTGAACAAGCTCTTCTCATTATGAACTTCTTCTTTCTCTTCAGATAAGTTCTTCTCATTATGAACCTTCTGGCAACGCTGATCCATTGAATGATGAATTTGAGCAAAAGGTTGAACAAATTCTTCTTTCTTCGGATGAGTTCTTCTCATTATGAACTCGAACTGGAAATGTTGATGATCCATTGAATGATGGATTTAAATCTTTGCTAAAATCTTTGAAAT